AAGGATGTATTGTTGGAAAGCATGATCACTAAAGAAGGAAATCATTTTCATGTTTTAACATGAGAATGGAATTGAAAAGAGTTTGGGGGATCTTCAGCTACATTGGAGGCTTGGAGGGTAACAACATCACTTTCACATTGCAAAGTGAGGAAAAGATAGTCCCTTGTACCACTGAGATTAATCCTTTCTTCTGGCAGAGCCAGTCTCAGAGGGAAAGCAGAGTCTCTGAGGAGAGTGAGGAGATGCAGACTCTGCATTGCTATAAGGGTTATATGGGGCCAGAGTGGGCAGCAGCAGGAGAGGTGCTGATGCCCCATGGGAGCTGCACCTGAGGGGGGAAGGGCCTGAGAAATCAGCCCAAGGCCAGTGGGCAGCTGCAGGGTTAGACCTGGTGGCAGCAAGAGTCTGCACAGCAGTATCTCCTCTGGGCTCTGCCTTTGTAAACTAACCTGGCATGTTGGTATATATTTGTATTCTATAGACATGAGTCCTCCTGTGGGTATTACAGAGTGTCATCTTATTTCTTTGGAAGTCTTTTGTCTGATTTACTACTCGAGATGTTGTTGACAAGTTTTGTATGTATTTGTACACTATACTTCATGGTCGGTAAGTAACAAGACAAAGAGGATGTGTCTTTACTCTTGGTTATGTGGAGAAGTTAACTTCTGTTTGCAAACATGTTTTGGGATCCCAAAACTGTAAAAAGAAGCTATAAGGGAGAAAGTACACATCTACTGTATCCTCTCTAAAATAGCCAGTTAGAATGTACATGCTTTTCTAGACTTTCTAAATGAACTTTTTAAAACTACTTATAAAACTATAATTTACCTGTTGCCACCTATAAAACAATACAGATGCTGTTTGTCTTACACAAACATAGACTGACTTTTTAAAAGTATTTGAAACTGTGTTAGAGGAGCTGGAATATTTATTGTCTTTTTCTATTGTTTTTCTCTCTTGACATGTATCTCAATATAGATATGAAATATAAATAGGCAGTAACATCTATAGTTTCTATAGAGACACATAGAGATGCACAAAAAAAAAAATCTTCATTCACATATATTCTCTCCTCACTTTTCAAATGAGAGGAAGATGGTAACTTGGGGGTTTATTGATTTAATGAAATTACTTGTTTGAAGAAGTAGACAATATCATTTGTGCATTATGCTCTGCATTATGTGCATTATGCTCTATGATTATTGAATTATCATTTATATATGTTTTACAGATAAATACTCGCCCCCACACACACACATTCACACACATCAGAAATTTCTTTGACAACACATTATAGAATTTGAACCAATAATGGAGTTTACAACCTTCCGTTTTACAAATAATACTTATGGCATAAGAATTAGGCACAAGATCTAGAGCCCTAGATTCCTCATCAGTGTTCTTGTAGCTGTTCCCAAATCCTCAGATCATGTGACACAGA